AACGGAGGATTTACAAGTGCCCTGCTGCAACCAAGGAAGTAATAGGGAGAGATGGCTTACAATTTGAGATTTGGCTGTAGAGGGTAGGGGTGGGAGGGAGGGGAGTAGCACTCTGCTCATTACCCCCAGGATTTTCACTTTTACCCCATTTGGGGTAATTTACCCGTTCCCCGACCTATGATCTACGGAGTCTTATTTTAGTTTATATGTTTTGCTTAATTATGTAAACCACCCCAAGCAGTATCTCACTAAGTCAGGAGGTCTAGAAGCTCAGTCACTCCATTCACCCTGAATAGACATAGTTTTCACAATTAGTAACTCCTGATATCTTCCATAGTTCATCTAATCTCCTATTAATCTCCCATTTAAATTGGTGGCCAACAGCACATCTTGTGCTACTACAGCAGTGCCTCGACTTACGACCGCCCCTACTTATGACCATTTCGAGTTACAACCAACTCTGATGGCAAAATTTTGCTTCTACCTGTGACCAGAGCTTCTACTTACGAACAGAAAGGCAGGGGGAAAGGGCGGGAAATTCAGATTGCTAACCTTAGGTGGCGACGAGGCTGCTACTTTGTAGCTCTTTTGCCCCAGCAGAGAATGTGCATTGGAGGAGGCTTGGGACTGCCTCCTGCTTCTGAGTGAGCGTGTGTGTGTGTTTGCAGGGAGGCTTCGGGCTGCATTGTAAGGAAAGGTTCTGTTTTCTGCTTTTTAAAAACTGTTCTGGGTGGTTTTGCAGCATGGTTTTAACCGGGGGATTATGTTTCTGTACTGTGATGGGTCTTGGGGGCTTGTTTTTTGGTTTCCCCCCATTTCCGATGGGTCTCGGGCGGTTGGTTGCTTTTTGGCTTTCCCCCCCATTTCCGATGGGTCTTGGGGGGTTTGGTTGCTTCTGATGGGTCCTGCATGGTTCCCGTTCTTTTTCCTTTGTTTTCTTTGCATTTCTGACCTGCCCCATTTGTTCTCTGTGCATTTCCAATCTGCTCCGTTTGTTTTCTGTGTATTTCCAATGGGTCTTGTATGCTTGATTGCTTTTCTCCCGCCCCTCTTGGTCGGAAGGGATTAATCACATTTCCAATGAGTCTTGCAGTGATTTTTGGGGCAGTGATTTTTTTTTCTTTGGCCAGAACGGATTAATTGCATTTCAATGCATTCCTATGGGAAATGGTGCTTCGGTTTATGACCATTTCGAGTTACATCCATCTTCTGGAACGGATTATGGTCGTAAGTGGAGGCACCACTGTACTAGAAATTTCTACAGTTTATGTACCATGTGAAGCAGCATTCTCTACCCAGGAATGAGATTTACCGAGATGCCTTGGTTAAGCAGCTGGGTAACGGTAGAAGAAGGCTGCCCTTTTTAACATCTGCTCTTCAAGTGGTCATCTGTGGGGCCCACATGGGTCATTACCTGACCAGAACCACTGTTTGGAGCCTTCTAGATACAGATATATTTTATGGTAGCCCTGCTTCTCCAACCCATAGTGCACACTTTGGCTTGATGAACCAATAACATTTTAAGATGGCAATATTAATTTAATAAAAATTGTTTTTAAATGGCAATGCTAATAGCAACATGTAATTTTTCCAACTTATAAATTGTTGACAATCTTCCAAGCTAACAGAGACTGGCAAGGCCTCTGGAAGGCAAGCAAGCACCTGTGCTTTTTTGAACACTGCGGACAGAACAGCCTGAAGCACCACTGTCCAATATGGCACTGAGTCAGCAGTACAGTGGTGCCTTGACTTACAAACGCCTTGACCTACGAACGTTTTGAGTTACGAACAGCTCCATTCACAAAATCTTGCTTTGACTTGCGAACGGAGCTTTGACTTATGAACAGAAAAAAGGCTGGGGAAAAGGGAGGGAAATTCAAATAGCTAACTGTAGGTGGCGACAAAGCTGCTTTTTTGTAGCTCTTTCGCCCGGGCAGTTAGAGAGTGTGAGATCTGAGGAGGCTGCCTGCTAAGGTAAGGTGCTGGTTTATACTTTTTAAAACCTGTTCTGGGTCTTTTTGCAGTGTGATTTTCGGCTTGGGGGGTTATGTTTCCATGCTGTGATGGGTCTTGGGGGTGTTTGTTTTTTTGGGTTTCTCCCCCCCATTTCCGATGGGGGGGTTAGTTCCTTTTTGGAGTGTTTTTTCCCATTTCTGATTGGTCTTGGGGAATTTTGTGGGTTTTTTTTGTTTCCTTCCATTTCCAATGGGTCTTGGGGGGTTTGGTTGCTTTTTGGGGGGTTTGCTCCCATTTTCGATGTGTCTTGCATGCTTTTTGCTTTGTTCTCTTTACATTTCTGATCTGCTCCATTTGTTTTTGCAATGGTCCCTGCATTCTCTTCCAAATCAGAAAAGTTTTTGCAAGGGTCTGTGCTGGCTTGGTTTTAAATGTGTTGGTGTAAAATGTGTGAGTTTAAAATGTGTTGGTTTAGCATGTGTTTTAGACTCCAAACTCTCTCCCTCCCTCATTGTCTTCTCTCTCTCTGTCTCCCTCCTTTCCTGCCCTTTTTTTTAACTTAAGTCATTTTAGGTTAAAAAAAGAAAAATTCTCCCCCTAGTGGTAGAGGACAGATTAACCGGTTTTGCAGTAGTTCCTATGGGAACAAATGCTTTGATTTACAAACCATGCCTTGACATAAGAACAAAAAACAGCTAGATCAGATTGAGTTTAAATGCATTCCTATGGGAAATGCTGCTTTGACTTAAGAATGTTTTGACTTAAGAACACCATTCCAATACGGATTAAGTTCGTAAGTCAAGGCACCACTGTACAGGTCTTGTTAATCAGACAGTGGAAAGAGAAAGTCAGTCTGCCTATGCTCAGAGAATACTTTTATTATTTGCACATCTTGGATGATAACATGTGTTGGTAAAGGATTATGCAACTGTCTAGTCCAGCTAAAACACAAATTCCAAAAATGTGGGTACCTGAAAATCTGTGGAAAGTGTGCACAATATGCCATATATCTAATAACAATTCAAATTTTCTTTTCTTAGCAAAAATTTTCTTACGGTGTACAAGTCACATAAAATCGATTAAGGCTGTGTAGAGCTTGTTCTAGGACCATAAGCTGATCCATACATTCAATAGAATGTATTCTGTCTTGGGCGTCTAGGAGCGGAGAGAAGAAATTGCTACTATGGAAACAATAAACAATGGGAAATCCATCCTTGAAGCCCGAGTGGACATTGACATATCTTGGCAGTGCTTGCAGTACTATGCTGGCCTAGCTGGCTCCCTAGCAGGTAAGTGGACTCTGTTTTTCAGTTCTGCGTTGTCCTGTAGCTTTCATACTCACCTAGTCTTCTGGATAAAGTAAATGTGGGCATCCAGCTTCCCAGCTATGAGAAGGTCCTCAGATAGGTGGCATTTTTAAAAATTCAAATAGTTTGGGTTTTCTTTTCAAATGTGTACCATCCTTAGTTTATCTCCTGTTATTAATATTTCAGTCATGCAGTTTTCTTCTCTTTTCTTCCTGCTTATTGTGGAAAAACTAGAGAAACACTTCGGGGTTTGGCACCCTAAAGGCAGGGATCACTTTGGGAAGTTTCTGTGCTGTGCTCCTCTCCCAAACCTACTCCAAAGCAACAGAATGCACTAGATACAGACAACTCTCAGGGAGTTTACGAGTGGGATTACATGATTTCCTCTTGGTGCTGTGTAGTGTGGATAGGAGACAAATATTGCAACTGTCCGTTTCTGCTGAGGAAAGCCTAAATATCATTTCCAAATCTTGTGAAATACTAGGATTAGTACTCTCCTCTATTTGACACCGCTTATGCCTCATCTTGAGTACTGCATCCAATTCTGGACACTGCACTTTAAGAAGAATGCCAGCAAATTGGAGCAAGTTCAGAGAAGGGCACAAAGATGATCAGGGGACTGGAACCCAAGCCCTGAAGGAACTGAGTATGTTTAGTCTTGAGAAAAGAAGACTGAGAGGAGATATGATAGCACTTTTCAAATACAGTACAGTGGTGCCTCGCTTAATGAGCGCACCGTATAATGACGAAATCGCATAGTGATGCGGTTTCCACGATCGCTAATGCAATTGCTTACCGATGGCCCCAATGGGTGAAACTCGCATAGCGAAGGTCGGTAAGCATTTCGCTTACCGACCTTCGCTTTGCGACCCGCGGATCACCTGTTCAGCGGGTCCAAAATGGCCGCCGGAACAGCCAAAATGGCTGCACGCAGCGTTTTCGCGCCCTCCCCTCGCTTACCGAGGGCGCGAAAATGGCTGCCGGCTATGGGAAGACTTTGCTAATGATCAGGGGACTGGAAACCAAGCCCTGAAGGAACTGAGTATGTTTAGTCTTGAGAAAAGAAGACTGAGAGGAGATATGATAGCACTTTTCAAATACAGTACTTGAAAGGTTTTCATTCAGAGGCAGGGTAGGATCTGTTATCCATCATCCCAGAGTGCAGGGTATGTAATAATAGACACGAGTTACAAGAATACAGATTCCAGTTGAAGTTAGGAAAAACATCCTAACTTTTAGAGCTCTACAAGAATGGAACCAGTTAACCTTAGGAGACAGTGAGTGCTCCAACACTGGAGGCATTCAAGAGAGTATTCGACAACCGCCTGTCAGCTATACTATGATTTGAATTCCTCCATTGATCAGGGGCGTTGGACTCGATGGCCTTATAGTCCCCTTCCAACTCTATTGTTCTGTGTTATGATTTATCATGCCCTGTAAGCTTTCTTCCTTTTTCATATTTGTTTCTGTGTGCTGTCATTTTTCCTATTGCTGAAAGCTTTCTCTTGAGTTCTGGCTAGTTGCATAAGCAGCAGTGCTTCCACCTGTACGAATGTGTTTTAACAACTTGCTTGGTAGCCATGGTTAATTAAGAATTTCATGCAAGCAAGGAGATAGAATTCCACAGGAGAAAGGAAGTATCACTCTTTCCTCCTGTCTGCTAGATGGAAGTGTTTTGTTTTTTAAGTAGACCATTTGTTAGCTAATCATGTTTATGGGCTTACTTGCAATCTTGTTTTACACTACTCGTGGTTACCTCTGTTTTCCTCTGTGGTCCAGGTCAGCACATCCAACTCCCTGGAGGATCCTTTGCTTACACCAGAAGAGAACCTCTTGGAGTATGCGCTGGGATAGGGGCTTGGAACTACCCTTTCCAGATTGCTTGCTGGAAGTCAGCCCCTGCCTTAGCCTGTGGTAAGGAGTGCTTTATTTCAGGATTAAGTGACTATTGGTCCTGGGACTTTTGACCAGTCTTTCTGGGATTCTAGTGCCATCCATTACTTTCACTAGCCATGCGAAAGAAAAGAAATGAAGCTCCAGTATAGCAATGGATACTGCTTGATAAAGCAAGTTGCTAATCTACTAAAACCCTGGTTGGGAGTTCAGTTCCACACCATGCCTCCTTAATGTGCTGGACTTGGTGATCCATAGGGTCCCTTCGATTTCTGCTGTTCTTATGATTATATTATTATAGTGCATTAGCATTCTAATGATATAGTGCTCTGTCAGATCTGCTTTGGATTCCTGCATTGAGCAGGGAGTTGGACCTTATGGCCTTGCAAACCCCATCCAACTCAATTATTATACGATTCTATACAGGCACTCCTCACTTAACAATCTACCTGACCACTTGGATTTACGACCTTTACAACCCTCGTAAATCCATGCTTGCTTCTTCACCATGCCCTTTCTCAACGGCATGTGATTTATTACTCCTTTATACACTATTAATGCTCCTCGATTATCAACCAGTAAGAATGCACAACTGGCATTAAGTGAGGAGTATCTCTACTTTTCTGTGTAGACAGAGTGCCATCTAGTGGGCATTTTACATTTTTCTACATTGTGCATTTCACATATTACAAGCCAGTCCAGCATACGTTTTCTACCCGTGTATTACATTTTTCTACATTGTGCATTTCACATACGTATTACAAGCCAGTCCAGCATACATTTTCTACCTGTGTATCAATATTTAAACACTTTTACATATGCAATATTTAAAACCTTGAGTTTATCATGAGCAGCTTTGGGAGCCAGAGTAAAATGTAAGAGACAGATTATGGATCCTTACTAACCTTTTGTGATGAAGCGGGACATTTTTTCATTTCTGTTTCTGAACCTAGTTCTCTTTGGGCAGAGATGATAAACGCTGTCTTCTTCCTATTTCCCTTATAAATGTGAATTTCATTGCCTAGGAAATGCCATGGTCTTCAAGCCTTCTCCCTTCACCCCCATCTCCGTTGTGATGCTGGCAGAGATCTACAATGAGGCTGGTGTTCCCAAAGGACTGTTCAACGTTGTGCAAGGTGGAGCTGCCACTGGCCAGTTCCTGTGTCAGCACCCGAATGTAGCCAAGGTCTCTTTCACCGGGAGTGTGCCTACAGGCATGAAGGTACAAGGCAGTAGCACTAGCTTACTAAAGGATCTCTTTGCCTCTAGGTGCTAGTGTTTGACCTGCCCAATTCTCTTCAAGAACATGAACATGCGATGCTCAGGCTACTTGGGGAGTAACTTTGTGCCCTTGACAGGCTCCATGGGGGCTTTTCTTCCCGAGGCACCAGAGCTTAGATTTTATAAGGTTTGCTTGTCTCTTTTGCTAGTTGCTGCAATCCAGTTTTGGGAATTTGATGTTCAGGTCTGGGTTCTTGAGCTGTTAGGGGAAAGTGTGTTTCAGCTAGCTGAAGCAAGGGAAAATAAATGCCTGTAAAGTGTGTCCACGCTAGACTTACACTCAGTGCTTGAGTGAGATAGCTTCTCAAGGAGCAGAAATTCCTTAATAATAGTTCTGTATCCTGCCTTTGAAATGCATATTGTTGGAGAATTCCTCAGCAGTCCCAAGATAAAAGTTCAGTCTTCATCTGTGTACCTAGAATGTCTCTGTGCAAGGAAGAGAAGAGGAGTTGTGTTTATGTGAATGCGAAAAAGAACTTCCTGTGGTTTAGCTGAATTTTGATTGATTCACTCAAAGCTTGCTGTGTCTAAAGAACTGTTGCAGTCTGTAGTAAGAATGAGTCCTTATCTTTCTCTAGAGATGCTCTTGTTCTTCACTTCCTTTGTCCTGTCTTCTGCTTCTGCAGATTATGGAGATGGCAGCCAAAGGGATTAAACCAGTAACTCTGGAGTTAGGGGGCAAGTCCCCTCTCATCATCTTTTCTGACTGTGTCCTGGAGAATGCTGTGAAAGGAGCCCTCATGGCCAATTTTCTTACCCAAGGCGAGGTAAGTCCTCTTCTGGGAGAGGAAGCTGGGAACTTGTTTATGTTGTCAAAATCCACTTTGGAATTTAATGTCAATGTTCTTCTGTTGCTGGAGAAAGCAGGCTTGTGCCTTGTGCAAGATACAGCAGACTAGAAGTAGTACATTGTTTTTTTAGATGATGACATTGTAATCTTGCTAAGAGGACAAAACATGGTGTAAGCATCTCTCAGCATTGTGGGGATATGGCTTGTCCCTCTTGCTCTGGTAGTAACTTAAGTAATTTAGTGTCATGAGGACTTGCTTGTCCTTTTGGAAGACGGTAGCATTCGATGTGGTAGTCAGTCTGATTCTGATCCTGGAACTCACTGCAGAAAGAGGCAGGGCACCCCCTGATGAGGCTGCATCAGGAAATCTTAACTTTTTTGCTCTGTGAAATCAAGACTAGCCTCTCTACATGCCATTAAGAAGTGAGACGTCTTCTGTTGAGCTTGGTGATGAGGAATATGTAGCCCTCTAGCCTGCAGTTCCCATTTCCCTGTACCTGATAATACAAGCAGAGGAGAATTGTTATCCAAAAACGTCTGAAAGGCTACATGTTCCCTATATCTAGCTTTTGATCATGTTTTTACTACCGTGGGGAAAGATGCCACCTGGATTTTCAGCCTTAGGTATAAAAAATTCTCCCTCCATCTGCCTTGCTACATAGTTTGGTCTGCTTTATAAGTACAAAATTTTGATTATTGTTTGTAATTTCTACATGCAGTGGCACTAAGCATCTTCTGTTTCCTTGCTGCTCAGCAACCCTTTTCCTCCTCTTCTCTTTGGTGACAGGACAGTTCCAGCTCCTGTTTTCATTCTGTGCTAGGGTAAACTTTCCCATTGCTCCATGGACATGTAAGGTGATTCTTCAGGATGTTCTCACTTTCTGACATTGGATTATTATCCAAAAAAAGTGCATGAACAGATCAGTCTCTATGTAGGGGGCTGACGCATGGGCGCCTCCTGGTAAACTCCATTCCCAGGGAGATATTAAATAGTAAAGAAAGGTTTGGTCATGTTTGTGCTGCCAGAAGTGGGAAAGTGTAGCTGACATGCCTTTTCTTTCTTACTGCCTCAGGTTTGCTGCAATGGCACTCGGGTATTTGTGCAGCGTGAGATCCTGCATGCTTTCACCAAGGAAGTTGTGAAAGCAACACAGAAAATAAAAGTTGGTGACCCACTTCTGGAAGATACAAGGATGGGAGCACTTATCAACAAACCCCACCTGGAGAAGGTGTTGAGCTTTGTTAAACAAGCAAAGGAACAGGTAAGAGTACTGGGTTATATAAAATAGGAAAGACTAAGCTATTAGCAGTGGCCCATCCCTCCACACAGAACTTCATACAGTTGCTGTATTCTTTGATAGCAGTAGTGAAGGCTACACTTGGCATAGAAGATGTCAAAAATAGAGCTGCAGTTTTTTTACATAAAGCAAGTAAAGTGTTGTCTCTTTAATTTAATTTCAGTTGGCTTGGACCTAGTTCAGAGGACAGGTGATCAGAAGAAGCTTCTTTTTAGGCCTTGGGGAGGGATAAATGAAATAAATAATGGCAGCGATTATGGTAAATGGCTAAAAAGCCACTGATTATAGGTGAAGCTAACAGAACATTAGAACACAAGCCCCAAAAATGTTGCCCCAAAAAGGCAGACTAAAAGAGGAGCAGACCCTTTGATAAATCATGAGTGCCTTCTTCCCTTACTCCATCCTGAGCCCTCTATAGCAGGGGTCACCAAACCCCGGTCTGCAGTCCAATACTGGGCTGTGGTCTTGGCAGGACCAGGCCGCAGAGACACATCTCCCCTCTCCCGCATGCACACTCCCCACGCACGGCCCACCCAGATGCACTGATGCCCTGCCCATCCCTGCATGTGCCCCGCCCATGCACACGAGCGCAGCCTGCCCACCCACAAGGACCACCGGCATGTGTGCATGTGCCCCGCCCACCCGTGTGTGTGGGTGGGTGCCCCGCCCTACCCAGTCCATGATCTAGAAAAGGTTGGCGACCACTGCCCTATAGGGTACTGCTTTTTCCTAGAAATTTAGTAATTTCTCTGTCCTGGGTAGCAAATTCACCTGGGTTGGTGTCCAAATTGCAAGCTGCTTAGGAAGTAAACATTCAAAAGCTGGTCATCTTTATTATGTGGCATCATCACAGCTGCTTGGGTATATGCAATGCCTGGCTTGACAGCAATGGAAAAAAGTGCAATAATAGTGTCTAGTGAAATGTTGTTAGTATGCATTTCTTCTAAATGCCTTATATTTCAGAACTGAACAAAGTCCCACAAGCCTTTGTGGCTACCACCTTCCATAGTCTAAATGCCTTATATTTCAGAACTGAACACAGTCCCCCAAGCCTTTGTGGCTGGCACCTTCCATAGGCTGCTATGCCCTTCTGTCATTGCCTTCCTTTGTGTTGCATTTTCAGGGTGCACAGGTGCTGTGTGGAGGGGAAGAATATGTGCCAGATGATCCCAAGCTGGGCAACGGCTTCTACATGAGTCCCTGTGTACTAGGTATGGCTATCCTTGTCATTTGACTCTAAAAATGCTCAGTTGTGGTCCAGCCCTGGATTCTGTTCTGATGGAGGGAGGGTTAAACAGGCTGGTTCATTTTGCTCACATTTGTATGAATGCTGGTGAGAAAACAGTGCCATTTTTGTTGTTAAAAAATTGCCTCCTTATAGTCTTCCTGAGATTGAGCAGATATGATGGCTCCTTTCATTAAAGCAGTATCATTCATTGGGTTTCTGACACTAAGAACAGAAGTATGTGGCCAGAAGAAAAGTGTGTGATTCAAATGTTGCATGTTTGAAGGCTCCCTCATATAAAGAAGCTACTGCATTAATAAAAGTTACAGGCTAAAGCTTAGAATCCTTTCTCCTAATTTGACAGTTTTCTCCGTGTAGAAGTTTCATATTTTGCAAGCATTCAGTAAACATGCATCTATTTAGATTTCATTAGTCAAGTTATTTAGGCAGATAATTCTGCAATTCTCTCTAATTCTAAGATAACCATGTCTGCTGCATATATTTCTTGGTCACTAGTTCTGAATTCAAGATAGATAGTTTTCCATTGACTCTTGCATATTCATTCTCACATAAAGTAAATAATAAATAAATATGTTGCCCACAGGAGACTGTATGGACAATATGACATGTGTAAAAGAAGAGATTTTTGGACCTGTTATGTCAATTCTGCCTTTTGACACAGAAGAGGAAGTGCTAGAGAGAGCAAACAACACCCGATTTGGTCTGGCAGGAGGTGTCTTTACCAGGTACCACTGAGAAAGGGGGTAGGTTTCTGGAGTTGGGATGGGATATGATCAGGCAACAACTTGCATTTTCGACAGAGTGCAGAATCTGTGAATGTGGGAGTAGCAAGTCACAGAGAGAATGGGGGAGATTGCTTTGCTGCATCATTGCTTTTGTTTGGTAAGACATAACTGTGTCTTCTTTATCTACTGGCATCTTTTCAGAGTGCCAGAAATGCCTGGTTGTGTTCACCTCACTCCACCTTGCCCCAGATGAGTTTAGAATGCCACAGGATGTCTGGACAGGGAAGGAGAGCACAATGCCTAACTCCCATCCTTCTGCTTCACAGGGATATCCAGCGGGCTCACAGAATTGCGGCTGGTCTTCAGGCTGGGATGTGTTTCATCAACAATTACAATATCAGCCCCGTGGAACTTCCCTTTGGAGGATACAAAATGTCAGGTAACCCACTTATTTGGTTCCCATAGTATGGAGCTATCAATTCTCTGCTGTTGCACATTGCCAAAAACGAATTCTGGAATATTAGCCAAGTTTGATTAGTATTCTAAATGAGCTGCAGCAGTCTGGAGATACAATGAAAGGAAGCTCAGCTCAAGAAACCTGATACCGTTTCATTTCTCTCTTAGGTAATTTGGAGCTTTGGTCAGGGGCTCCATTTTAAAAAAACAACATATGAAGTTGGAATTTTTAATGAAAATAGGACAGATTTACCTAACCAAAGTGTACTGCTTCTGGGAAGAATTTAAAACCATGAGTGTTATCACCAGCAGAAGAGCCCCCCCCCCCGGTTATACTCCAGATCTGCTCCAGAGAGTTTTAGGGTCCTCTCTGTAGGGAGGAGGGGAAGGAAATTCACACTCCTGAATGGAGGTCTACTCATGTGATGTTGGATTTGAGCTTTACCCCTGGTGTGAGGAGTGGATCCCTTGTAAGGACCAGGAGAAACTGGATGAGGCTTAAAGTTCTTTTATGGTGTATGTAGATACGCATACTCTAAAAATGTAGAACTGCTGTGGAAGTGCATTGACTTTATTTTAATTATTGTTCCTTTCAAGGGTAAGTTTAGGTGGAACTACGAGTGTATATTGAAGTATTTCCTCCTATTTCTTATTATTTTACATCATTTATCCTCCAAAGCACTAATAGCAATGCTTCTTGGTTACAGTATATAAGATAGTACCTATTGTGGAACTCCTTTATTTTGTAACTGTTTTGGAAAATGACAAACAGGTTCAAAGATTTTTCGGTTTGCCCTCTTGATTCATTATATTCACAGTGGTAGCCAGCTCTATATCTTTTTATTTGATTTATTTCACCTTCCATCCATTCCCAAAATATTTATTTTTTCTTTTAAAAGCTAGAACTTTCATCTGGAAGAGTTGGAACTTTTGAAAGCAAGCACAGGTTTTAAAGAGCAGGACAGTTACACAGTCCACAGTATTAGGTGCCCCGTGGTCCATTCTGTAACGTGATCACTGCTATACAAGCTTTACTGGTGCACTTCTCACTGAAGAGAGAGCAGGATATTGGTTGAATCTGGTCATTCTTGTCTTTCTCTTCCAGGATTTGGACGAGAGAATGGCGAAGCAGCCATTGAATATTACTCGCAACTGAAGACTGTCTGTGTGGAGATGGGCAATGTGGAGTCTGTATTTTAATGGCCCTGCTCTGACCCATTGTTTCCAGCTAACAGTCAGTTGACGTACAGTATGGATCATTATAATGACCTAGAGGTGTAACAACATTGGTGTCTTCCTACTGCTTTTAATTCTCTCACTTTCTTATCTCAAAATACCTCTCGGGGAGAAAAGGAGAAATGACTCATACACTAGGAAGCCTCCTGCCACCAACACAATTCTCACAATTACTCCTGCCCAGTTTTCTTAAGAACAGGAAGGTAAAGTTTCAGTGAGGCGTGCCAAAGCAGCCTGCTACCCGTTACAGGTGACTGAAATTGAATCTTCCTGCTGGTTCTTCCTGTGTTCCAACACTTGACTTGACACCTTGCTGCCTTGGGCCTGTAACTCAGTATCTGGCCCTGGTTGGTTGGTTATGTCTCTGGTGCCTTTTCTAGGGGGTATTTCTGTACATGTATCCTGACCCAATAAAGCTTTTGGGGTTGACTATTTCTTGTATAAAATCTTGCATTGTGGACATGAGCAATCCGTGGAATTGCCTTCGCAAATATGGAGGCTTAAGCCTGACAGCTGTGGTGGGGTTTCTGGTTTGAGGAAGGATAGGGTTATGGAACCAAGGAGGTGCCTGTATGCCTGATGTAGGAGACCTTAAAGCTAGGCAGGTTATGGGGTTTTTCCCCTGTTTTTAAGAGGGGATGTGGCCCCTTTGAGGCAGAGAGATAGGGACTCTTTAAAATTGTAGCTTGAACTGAGCAGATTCACATCTCCCTGATAGAAGTTCCAGCACTTCTTTAGAACAGTGGGGGTCACTCTCTAAATTCAAAGCACCACTCTGGCTCTGATTAACACTTGGGTTGTACCTGAAGTGCTCTTTTTTCTTTTTCTCAACCTGTCAGGAAGCTTGAACTAGCAAGTATAAAGAGTTTTGGTTCTTGTACTGCCTCACTCTGAAATCTTCCTCTGCTTCTGTTTTCCTTTGCTTCTCAACCCTTGGGGGATTTTCTCTGCAGTAAAGGGGACTTTTGGAGACATCAGAAATCCCAGCGAAGTGAAAAACTTGGCTAAAATAGCATATATTATATATGGATTAGGTAATTGATGCAGTTGGAGGACTGATAAACTGAAGGGGAATCCTTTAGATAAAAATGTATACATTTTCATCAGACCGAAGCAATGAACAGACTTATGATTGCTACGGAATTATTTCAGTTCTGTATGCCTGCAAAACAAAGGGAGTACCCCAATCTAATTTAAGTCATAAACTTCTAGAAAGGGTAGCTCATCCGCCATTCACTGGAGCATTTTTTGCCCTCAAGTGACAATATCACATGGTGCCCGCCTTGACATTCTAGTTTATTAATTATTTAATTGTTACCCCACCAATCTAGTGACTAGGTCATTACTCTAAGCGGCTCAAAATATCACAGCATTGTTGTGTGAGAATTCAATAGACGCTGATCCACATGTGCAAAGTGGCTGGCAAGGACGACTGAAGAATTTGAGTAACACTTGGTTGGCTATAGAGTGAGTGGCTTGGATGTGGGCTGGTTTAACAACCTGCGACACTGGAATTCTCACTAGAAGCAAGGCAATGCTTCAGAAATCAATTTGTTTTGTGTATGAGGATGAGGAAGGCATGTTGACTGAACAGAAGATTCAGCAGAAAGGAAGAGTAGGCCAGGTAGCAGAGCCATTGCCAAAGACAGCTTTGCTTTTTAATCTTACTTGGCTTGTTCTCTTATAGTATTAGTAAAATCTGCCATTCTTTTGTGTAAGACCTTGTTAGAAACATCTTTTATAAAGAAATACATCTTAGCACCTGAATTGGACTGCTTAAATTATGATAGAAACTTTGAATATCCAAGCAACCGGAGTAGAACAGAAATCCGAGTCACTCCAACTCAGGTTACAGCTGTAGGATCAAGCATTTAAGGCATCTGAAAGTAGAACCTGAACCATTCTCTTTAGGTAAAGCCATCGGTCTTATTTACAGTGGTGCCCCACTTGATGATGAACCCACTTGATGATGAACCCTCTTTACAATGAGTTTTTTACAATCGCTATTTCAATCACAAAACGATGAGTTTTTTTCAAATGAGTTTTTTTGCTTAACGATGATTGGTTCCCTGCTTCAGAAACCGATTTTTCACATAACAGTGTTTTTAAAACAGCTGATCAGTGGGTCGCAAAATGGCCGCCCACTGTGCAAAATGGCTCCCCTCTGTGTTTAGGACGGATTCCTCGCTTTACAGGCACCAGAAAATGGCCGCCCTATGTAGGATCTTTGCTGGGCGATGAGGTATTTTCCCCATTAGAACGCATTAACCGGTTTTTAATGTATTCTAATGGTTTTTTTTACTTTCGCTTGACGACAATTTCGCTCTACAGCGATTTCGCTGGAACAGATTATTGTCGTCAAGCGAGGCACCACTCTATATGCAAATATTGGTGTCCAGATCTTACAAGAATTGCCATAGATCTCTCAACACCAGGAAAGTTCATTTGTAGCAATGAGAATCTGCTTTCCTTTGCAGTGTATCATCTTTGCATTAAAAAGTGTATGGGTTCAGTGTGTGTGTGTGATGGAGCAAAAAAAAAAGCCATCCATTCAGGAATGCTAGGAAGCATACCCAAAACTCCCAGAGATGTTCTTTCATAGAAATTTATTGTGTATGTCTCAAAGCAAGAATTTCTTGCCTAAAGTGCAACTGGCTTTTCCAAGGGAGTGTTCCAACGCATGTCACCATGGCTGTGCATCAAAGGCGCTGGAAATCAACTGGAACATGCAGGAGAGATTTAAGCATCATCTTGCCATTTACTGGGAAAGAAGATCTCAATAGAACATAAAGAACAAAATGGAAATTCTTTCATAGTTCTTAGATTTAGTCAATTCATTTTCTTAAAGCCCTAATCGTCATGTGCCATAAATTCTGACTTACTGTGACCCTTTTCAGAGTTTTCTAGGTACAGAATTTTCTTGGCATGTCAGAAGTGGTCTACTCCTCTATTCTGTGGGCCGCTTGAGACTGAGCAGCTTGCCCAGGGCCACACAGGCTGACTCTATTCACAGAAGACAAAGTTGGGAATCAGACTCCCAACATCTGGCTCCACAACCAGATATTTAACTCAATGAACTATCTAGCCAGCTATGAAAGCCCTAGATAGCAATAATACATTTCTGGTAAAAAGAGCTTCTGTTGCTATTTTTGCCAAGCTCTGAAGACCTCTGACTGATCTCAGTGTTTTTCCCAGCTTCCTCTAAAATCTTGTGATATATTTATAATGATGTTCTGTAGTTCCCAAGTCCTCAAGTCTTGACATAAAAATGTGTACACTTAATGTGTCCTGTTTTGGTAAATATGAAACATAAAATACGAATGGAATGTGCTCTGCCTGGGCTGAGCCTTTGGGACAAGCAGCATCTAATTTAGGATCTGATTTTCCACAGAGAACAGATGTTAAAATGTTCAGTCCCAGGCTATTCATTGTGTAACAAAGCCAGAAATCAAATCAAAGGTATTGTAGCTCTTTCAAGACCAAGAGATTTAGTTCAGCATGAACTTTCATGAGCTTATTCTTTCTCGAACTGAATTCAACTAAGAGGGCAAGTTTGTGATTTTACATATTGGCATTAGGAACCTTGGAGGAAGGCAGGAGTCACATCCTTTCAGAGCCTTCGTTTCGTTTAGTCATTTAGTCGTGTCCGACTCTTCGTGACTCCATGGACCAGAGCACGCCAAGCCCTCCTATCTTCCACTGCCTCCCGGAGTTGTGTCAGATTCATTTTGGTTGCTTCGGTGACACTGTCCAACCATCTCATCCTCGGTCGTCCCCTTCTCCTCTTGCCTTCACACTTTCCCAACATTAAGGTCTTTTCCAGGGAGTCTTCTCTTCTCATGAGATGGCCAAAGTATTGGAGCCTCAGCTTCAGGATCTGTCCTTCCAGTGAGCACTCAGGGTTGATTTCCTTCAAAATGGATAGGTTTGTTCTCCTTGCAGTCCAGGGGACTCTCTAGAGTCTCCTCCAGCACCACAATTCAAAGGCATCAATTCTTTGGCGGTCAGCTTTCTTTATGGTCCAGCTCTCACTTCCATACATCACTACAGGAAAAACCATAGCTTTGACTATTCGGACTTTTGTTGGCAAGTTTGTGATTTTACATATTGGCATTAGGAACCTTGGAGGAAGGCAGGAGTCACATCCTTTCAGAGCCTTAACATGGCTCAAAACAGCCCTAGCAGGATCCCGTCCAATCTCCTTTTTAAAGCCTCTGAAGTAAAAAGGTTCCAGTTTAGTCATGAATTAGTTTTACTGCTCACTGGCAACTTAGAAAGCATGCCTCTTTTTATGTACTAGCTGTAATTTCCTTGTATCCACAGGAGAAACTAAGCATGTTTCATTACAAATGGCCTTGTATTTGGGCTTGTTCGATGGGCATAAATGGACTTTGGTTAGCAGCACAACATAGAGAGCTGTTGCTTTTTCTAGCAGCAGCTTCAATCATGGGGGGAAAACTCAATCCATGACTATCCTTTGCTGAACTATCCTGTTGGTTTCTAATTTCTGAGAAGTCAGTGCTGGCTAAAGTAATTTCAGTCCTCACTCAGCTTAATAAACTTCCAGTATGAAAATAAAATCTGTGTTGCTGAAATGTACATGCATAATTTTATTTCATTCTGAATGTATTCCTGCAGTAACTGGCTCAAACAACAACAAAAGGCAGAAAAGCACAGGAGGAACTGAAATGCGTCTTTATTCACATATCTGAAAACCCCAAAGATGTGTACTGCGAGCCAAGAAGTGTAAATCTCTACTCCACTAGGCTACTTTGGACATGATATAATTTCCAGCATCCATTTGAAAAATGACGAGTACTGCTCAAAATGATGAGGGCCTGGCGTGCTCTGGTCCATGGAGTCACAAAGAGTTAGACATGACTTAACGACTAAACAATAACAACTGCTCAACTTTACAGGGTTGTTACTGGGATATTATTTCTCTGTGTTATTCTATAGGGGAAATACAGCTATTTACAGAGATGAAGGAGGAAAATAAAAAGCAACACAAGAGTTACTTATAAACTCATCTTGCATATTAAAGATAATTTGCAATGTGTTTATAAAAATTTTTGAATACCTTTTGAATTAGGGTCAAGCTCCACATTGCAGTTTATGTGGAGCTACACCTTGTTTTGCATTATTTAAATACAATCACAGGACCATATAGCTCACCTCTCCAGCCACAATCTCCAATCGCTGCAGTCATGTAAGTGACTGGTTTTCAAGTTAGTTGCAGCAAGTGAAGGAAGGTATGACTCCTTCCTTCACCCACTCCACTACTGATGAAGGTTCTCCAGCCTCATGGCAATAATTACATTTTAAAAGCAAAACTACATTGTATAGAACAGAACCTATTGAGTGCAGAAAAACCCCTTAGGGAGAACTGCATGCTACCTATTAAGTATACTTACAGCTACACTTTGAAAGTAGTTAGTTAGATATGTGGCTAATTCACTGGCCTTGTCCAGCACCTTTCTCCATAAACCCCATGCCCAGGAGGTTATGGACTAGGCAGGCCAAGGATATAATTGCCAAGCAGTGATGCCTGAAATAGCGTTTAGCAATTGAGATCATTACCCAAGTCTACAATCATACTTGGGAAGAGTCATTTTTAATTCTCTTTTAATATGAAATCACTACGTTTAAGCTTTGGGGTGGGGGGGAAGAACTGAAGTATATTCATGTTGAACTTTTTTTCTTCTTACCTTAAAAACAGAGTTTGGGTGATGATTAAATATGTATGATCTCCTCTAGACAGGATCAACCAAAACAGAACAATTAGTAAACACTCTTCTTCTTAACCTCATTTTTTTTTGTTCTCATATTTCTTGGTCTATATATCCGTTGCAAAAGCTGCCAGCTTCCCGTTTGACTCTTTCCGCTCGTTATCTGTACTGTATGTTTTTACCCACACCCACTGTAACAGATTGTTTTTCACTTTGACGACTAAATGTTTATAGCAACCGGAATTTCCACAAAACCACTGAAATAATGACACACAACACGCTTCCTTTTCATGTTCTCTGTGTCAGATTCTTTGCCAGACTGGCATGTCAGAAATTTGGATTCTTTGAGAATAAGCTGCCAATTCTGATGTGCAGTATTCAGCCTAGCTCACCAGGGTGGGCTTCAGTCTTTTAATCATCAATGCTATAGTATAAACTTTCTGAAAGATCTCTACTGAGGCTATCAACCTACTTCAAGAAACCATAGCTGGCTGAGACTGTCATCGTAAATAAAGAAGTAAGTTCCACTGAAAACAATAGTATGTTAATATGTATGTAATAAGAAATACTCTAAAAACAAATATGCTTTTAACTTGTGGCCCCATTGATTGAAAGTGGCTCCCAAATGTTAATAACCATTTTGTTGATAATTTTGCCAGTTACTAATTAATTTGGCAATTAAAACTGAACCCTAAACTTTTAAATTAGATACCCAATGTGGTGTAAGTAGATGGAGGGATTAGGAATCAAGAGACCTGGGCTCAAATCCCTGGTTCGAATGGACACGATCTAGTGAGAGCCTATCTATTCAAAGTGATAGGACCCCATGAAAAAAATGAAGGAGGATTCATTCTTTAACTGAAGTCTGGGTCCTGAACACTACAAAAAGCATCTGTTTGCATCTCCCTCATCCACCACAATCTTGCTCCTCATACATTCATTTATTGCAGTGAGATCTGCAAGGATATAGAATAATATAGTCTTATCTGATGTAGCACCCATATTAAGAAACACGCCTTCACTGAGATATTCTGTTAGCATCTTCCTTAAGACTTAACATGCACCATGGCCCTTTGGTAAAGTGAAGAAAAGTACGAGAAGCAACAATAGCATGTGAGACAGATTATGAATGTTTACGCAATTGCTTTGCAGACCAAATAGAACACCATATTTACACCGTCTCATAATTAGACAAAAAGCAGGACCTCCAACAATTAAGGTTGAAGAAGCAGTTCAGCTCAGCACAGGGTGAAAATTCAGTTCACATTAAGGCCTGGGTACCTCAACTGGGCCAAGACATGTGCTCAGTTACATGGTTTTGCATATTATTCAGTACTAGTACAGTATTTCCAAGGAAGACTCAGGGAGCGCAATTGATTCTATTCATTACACACGATATTCCTCGGCTTTGTTGCACTCTCCAAGTAATAACAATTTTTCAAAACATCTTTATCAAACACGAACAAACATGCTCTTGACAAAAAACCTTTTTAATTCAAACTTTTATTACAGGGACAAAATCATCAGGATCCAAAGCAGGGTTCGTTCTCTTTTTTTAAGCTGGAACTTACTGCCAGCAAGCTCTCAGCGTTGCCTATGATTAGCAAAATTTCTTGCTTTCCACTCCACAACTTCACAATGGAAATGAAGCAGAAAATATCTTGGCCATTTAGAATTATATACCTTCAGAGAACATTTATAATATGCTAGCTCAGTACAAGTGGAACACGTTGTGGTTATGCTACTTTCAGAGCGGCCATGATTCACAGCAAACCACATCTTTCAAACCCTAAAGAGAAAAAGACGACACAGTGAACATAAAAAATCCAGGCAACCGGACTATCTCACATCAGGCTCTGCTATTAAGGAAAGTAAAGAAGTCTCCATCTCAGATATTCAAAGAAGTTCTGTTACCTGAGCTTCATTTGAAGGTGTGGCTCTCAGCACCTCCACGGCCAAACCCTGAAAGCAAACCAAAGTCATGAAGAACAGATCTTTATTTATTTTATTTTATTTCTTTCTATCTGTCCTCCTCTCCCCAAAAAGACCCAGGGTGGCTTACATCATTAAATTGTATGTAAATCCCAGGGTGGCTTACATCATTAAATTGTATATAAAAGATAAAAACAGTAAGCGTACAAATATTAAAAAGGAATTAAACAAGTATATTAAAACGGGAACTAAGATCAATATTAAAACAGACTTGAAACAACAGAGCATAACAATCCATCTAAAAGCCCTCTCAGAACCACCAGTCATTAAGGAAAAGGCTGCCTGAAGAGAAAGGTCTTCGCTTGCCTGCAGAAGGACAGCACGGATGGGGCCAGCCTGGCCTCCTGTGTGGAGTTCCCCTGATTATCTCAATGCCCAGGCAGGCTCATAGAGCATATTTTAGATCACTTGGGACCCAAGCCATTTAGGGCTTTATGGCTTAAAACCAGCTCTTTGAATTGTGCCCAGAAATGGATTGGCAACCAGTGGAGCTGCTGTAACAGGGGCGTTATACGTTCCCTGTAACCGGCCACAGTTAACCACGTGGCTGCACCATTTTGGACCCTTTGAGGTTTCCGAACACTTTCCAAAAGCAGACCCACACAGAGCACGTTGCAGTAATCCAGATGAGATATAATTACGGCATGTGTCAGACCTCTCAAGAACGGGCACAGCTGGCGCATTAGTTTCAACTGTGCAAAGGCACTCCTGGCCACCACTGAAACCTGGGTATCCAGGCTGAGAGATGAATCCAGGAACAACCCCAAGCTGCATGCCTTTGTTTTCAGAGGGAGTGGAAGTTTCAGAGGGAGGCTGCACCCCGTGTTCCTTGATCTGGTTTTGAACTGACCAGGAGCATCTTTGTCTTGTCTGGAATAAGTTTCGGTTTATTCGCCTTCATCCAGCCCATTACAGACGCCAGACACTGACTTAGTACTGAGAGAGATGAATCCAGGAACAACCCCAAGCTGCATGCCTTTGTTTTCAGAGGGAGTGGAAGTTTCAGAGGGAGGCTGCACCCCGTGTTCCTTGATCTGGTTTTGAACTGACCAGGAGCATCTTTGTCTTGTCTGGAATAAGTTTCGGTTTATTCGCCTTCATCCAGCCCATTACGGACGCCAGACACTGACTCAGTACTGAGACAACTTCCGTGGATTTAGATGGAAAGGAGAGACAGAGTTGGGGGTCATCAGCGTACTGGTGACACCGAACCCCAAAACTCCGGACAACCTCTCCCAGTGGTTTCATGTAAATGTTAAATAGCACAGGCGACAAAACAGAACCCTGAAGGACATCACAGGCCCTTGGCCAGGGGGTTCAACAAGAGTTCCCCAGCACCACCCTCTGAGTTCTCTCCTCCAGGAAGGCCTGGAGCCACGATGAAACAGGGCGCCCAAGTTCCATCTCTGATAGACGGACGAGAAGGATACCATGGTGAATGGTATCAAAGCAGACAAGGGTCTAAGGAGGCAAGCGATAGCCTGCACCTCTCCAAGGACCCTGCCCACATCATCAGGCTGCAAAAACTGAAACTCATTCATCCACAGAGGAGAAGCAGGAGCCATAGTTACATCTACAGGACATGTTTTAACTACAGCATCTAAGTCAGGGCAGATCTGCAGCCAGATATCTAGCTCACTGAGCTATCCAGTCAGCTCAAAGATAATCTGCCATCAAGTCAATTCTGACTTAGGGCAACCATTTCTATCTATATAGTGTTACCAAAAGCACTTTTCAAGTGAGGCACCTTAGGATATGTGTAATGGCTGTATGAGATGTGATCACTGCATGTCTAGTATTAGTGGCACAGAATTAAGTAGTTTTTTGTTTCTTTACTGTAGCTACAACAAAGCCCCATGCACGGAAGAGTTTAAAAAAACAGATGTTGCATCCAACAATAGGAGCACCAGCTGTAGCATCTTTGCAGGAAATGCTCAGATGAGCAGGAAAATAAAGAGGGGCAGATTTTTCCAGTTGAATCATCCTGTTAGATTGTGCTTGATCCACAAAGCGATACAAACAGGAAGGAACCAGACACAGCATTCTATTGACTTAACAGGCTTTACAGGCAGTGTCCAGCACCACAATAGCAAATAAACTAAGACAGAACTACTGCTGACCTAGGGCTAAATCCAGCCTTAGTTCTACCTTGAGTAAGACATTGAAATCATTAAGAGAAGGATGATTAAAATCTCCCATTCAAGTGAGTCTACGATTTGCCCCAAGGACAGAGGTCATATGCCCTCCTGGGGACAGCCTTGGACAGAGCAACCGTTCTCCGTGGTTCTGCTCTATTAAAGGAGATTTTTTGCTATAGATTTTGTTAGGATCAAATGACACCCTTAATAAGCATAAATCCTTAGCCTTAGGAAAACAGTAAGGCTAGACAACAACAACAAAACTTATGTGACTCTTGACTTACCATTCTTGCATTGGTTCAATCAGATTTTAAAAGAACTAAGGCATTATTTGTCATAAAACATTCTAGACAGAAGTACACATGTGAAGAGATGTAACTAAACGAGGCCACTGTACTTGAGGATATTATAATATTTGATCATGTTTCTGGATAAAAATATCCTACGGGAAATAAGTGCTGTTTAATGCCCAACATTTTGCTCCCTCCCTCACGGAATCCTACCTTTGGGTCCAAACAGTGCAGCGTAGCATGGGTGGTTGCAATAAGGCTTCCCATCGTGCTGCAGAGACAACACAAACATTTCAGTGGAAATACTAACAAGATATCTGGTTGCTTCTACTCAGTGTTCTTGGGATTATATGATGAGTAATATCACACACCATAGGGGTGGGCACAGCATTTCATGCCTACTGGTTTCTTCATGCCCAGGGCTAAAAAAGACTGGGGTCATGTGCTCTGGCACAACATACAGTTCAGAAGTTACATTCAAAGCAGCTGTCCTCTGCTTTCCAGGTCTTCCACACAGGAGAAGAGCACATAGGTATCCATGGTAGCTACAAGCAACCAAAAATCTCCCACAGAAAAACAATTCCTGTGCTCCTTTCCCCCCTTCACTTACACAAAAAGTATGCTCTTTTGTAAGAGGTAATTAGTGGAACTATAGAGAAACAAAAATGCCAAAGACTGATAGCCTGTCCACATTGGTATATATATATATGTATCGCTGAGGGCACAGTTTGGATCAGGAAAAAAAGATCCACAGGTATTTCTCCTTAGAACAAACCATCCTTCCCCTTTAAGGGCTGTTGTGCACATTTCTGGCCCAGTGATAGGGCATGCATCCTTTTTTCTCTTCTTTTTTGGCATGCTCATTGTTTATAGCCTGTTTAGCCAAGAGTTAGCAGCCTCAGCTTTCACTGCCATCTTTGCTGCAGATTCTGAGCGAGACTGGAGGGAGAAAAAGGGAAGGGAAGCGGGGGGGGGGAACCCCTCTCCTGACCCTCCACAGAGTATAAGGGGAAGTGCTTAATTGACAGCTGATCAGGCTACAAGGAGTCATTTGCAGTTCACACAGGAGAAGCATATCAAATGGCACCTCACTCCTCCCCCTGCCACCCTCAACAAAGGGTGGCCTAATCCACCCCCATAACCCAAAAATGGCCAGTCTGGGCAGGCCGTCAGTATGCTGTAAATGCTGCCAGGGACTGAAAAGAGAAAAGGACTTCCTGTTAGGAAAACATCAGCAACTTTTTATAAATCAATTAAAGACACTGTTGTTGCCCCTCCAAATGAGATACATGCAGCCAGGGAACAAATAAAATTAGGAAAGTTCAGTTAGTCAGGAATTCTTGATGCTAGTCTGGCTCACAATGATTCTGCAAAAAACCAGGGACATCTTTCTGATGAATGAGGCACCTACAATTCATTTTAAACTGTCCAAAGTAGGGGGTGTTACTAAGTGGGGATATATGAAAAGTTAAATAAATAAGTAAGTAAATCAACCGCCTCAAGCTCTTACCTCCGCATGACCACCTGAAGTAAGGGTCTTGTTGCATTTTTCACACTTCAAACATGGCCGATGCCAGTCCTTCCCCAGAGAGGTGACTTTCTCAGCTACCATTGGACACAAATGAACAACAATGATGGAAATAATCAAAGATGTTCCTTCCCCCAGCACCATCCTGTCTGTGTTCCCAGTCACTCTCTTCATGCAAGCCAGGAGAACGGGACAGAGGGGCTCTCAACGGACATGGTCTCCCTGACAGATTTCCTATACCAGCGACGTGATGGTGACTGCTTTGGATTAGATCCTGTGTGAACACAGCTGATACGAAGGCAAACCAGAGATGCATCTAGCCCAGCATCCCCTGCCTCTTCTTCTTGCCCCACTTCTTCCCCTCAGTTTGGTTACACGGATGGGCTTTCTTCAAAGCCCAATTTTAGTGCAAGGGAACAATTGGGGACAGGGTATGGTGGGGCAGGGCAGATCATACTGACTCTCCATGCCCCATCCTCCCCTTGTGCTGCAGTTAGGCTTTAAAAAGTCTTCCACTGGTCTAAATGCAAGGATTGAACCACAATACCCACTGGGTAAGGAAAATCCTCCCTTTTTTTTTCTTTTTTCTTTTAATATTTTTGTGTAAGTTACTCCCACTTCTGGCATTTGGCTCCTTCATGAGGTTCCTCAGCTGAAAAGGATCCATCACTCTGATCCATCCTGACAGGCAGCAGCTCTCCTGTGACTTTGGCAAAGGTTTTTCCCAGCCTTGCCAACCTGCCTCCTTCCAAAAGCCGGACATGGGGGTAATAGCCAGACTCTTCTGCATTCAAATGCTAGTTTTCCCTATTTTTTGTCTACCTTTTTCGGTTTACTATGCAAGGGCCCAGTGAAGGATTTTGGATTTTTTTGTGACATACTTCTTCAAATACTAATTTTCTTGCTTCTGAAGGCATGCCTGCATGTGCTTGAACATACCTGACACTGGAAACCTTTTAAATAATTCTGAAGGCAGAGGCAACAGCTATGATTTGAAACATAATCCTTTTCACAAAGGAAACTTTAAAGCTGGCACAAAGGGTGTGATTTTGATGAGATCCTCCTAACAGCTACGGTTCACAAATATTTACTAAGGGAGAAGAGTTTGCCTTCCCCCAACACCTGAAACATATTCAATGTGCTTGGAATAAACGTAAGAAATGAGTAAAGACAAGTAGATCCAACAGCAAACGATCACAGACCTCCAAGCCTCAGTCACTTTTGTAACCTAGTGTAACTGCCTTTCCAGAGTGGGATACCCTTGTCATGGGAAAAATGCTGCCCAGTAAGAACACAGCTGGGCTGACGTTTGTTGACAAATGCACACACTTCCAAAGAATTATAACACTAAACAAAAAACAACCAACTAAATAAATGAAACATACAACAGCTGAAGGAAGAGCAGTCAGGTTAGAGTCCTACACTTTAAAAAGGAAAAGATGGTTACATGCCTGCTTTCTAAATTTGAGAATACAGTACAGGTTTTTAAAAAGTCAGAACACTTCAGGAATGGAAGACTGGCAATTCCACCGCTGTTTTTATTGTTACAGAAATTACATCCAAGATTTTGTCCAGCACACAAAAAACCAAATTATGTGGAAAGAACCAAAAGTGTTGCTGAGTCACATCCACACAAGGGCTGCACAGCCCCACACACTCTACCTATTTGTTTATAATATATAAAAAGAGGTGTCCTTGTAGATTTAAAGTTGTTTCCATGGACTTTTGAATGTTGACCACACATTCCTATTTGTCAGGTCCCATTGTTTGCAAAATAAAACTAAAATAAGTTAAATGACACAGTTTTCTAAATAGAGCATATGCTACTATCTGGCAGCTGTGGCATCACAGGAAGAAGGTTGGGTGTGGCTGCTCTGTTATGAAGAAAAGAATATGCAATATATTGCACATATTTATAGCTACCATTCCCACTTTCCAAGACTGGGCCCTAGGGACACCCATTTCAAATCAAACCTGCTTGTGGCCAGCTAGCTACCTTTGCATATTCTGTTCTTGCATATTCTGTTACAGGAACACTGAATTATGAGAGCTGAATATAATGTATGTACAGAACTCCAACGGTTCCCTCAGACTGGGTATACTGCATCACTCCCCTGAGCCCCACATAAGTTTGTCACACACCCAAAGAGAGAGAGAGAGAGAGAGAGAGTGCGATTCCCAGGTGAAAGACTGGAGGATTTATTGAGGGTTTTTAGTTTGTTTTAGATCCTTTGTTAAATATCCTTATATTCTGTACTCAAAATCAGGTCTGGTAATGTGGAATGTGCAAATTATGTAAGAGTGGATATCATCTCCTCCCTGTCCCTGGTAACCTAAGGTCAGTTCTATGCACTCTGTAGTCTGCCAGCTTAGCTCACACAATTACAGTCTCCTGATAATTAGCATGCTTGCCCTTCCCTTTTGCTGCCTGAACGAACCAAAGGAACGCCTGATGTTTCCTGACTCTCTCTTTCTCAGGGGAGGTCTGGGCAGCTGTTAAGAAAAATAACTGTTCTGCTCTCACATTGCCTTCCATCAGCTTTGGCAAGTTTTATAACATCTAGGCATTGTCCCCTAAGTTGCAACTCATGCACGAGGAAGCTGGAGCAAATATAAGGAAATAAGTTTGCACAAAGTTCCTTACACATGATCTATAATTTATTCTCAACTTTCTTATCATGGTGCCCATCCCTGCAGCCTCCATGCCCTCTACAAATAAGCAAACTGTGTATACTGCCCTGTCACTGTCTAGAAATGTCAGCATGGTGCCAAACTAAAGTGCTGATAGTAACATCTTAAGAAAAGAATCCAGATTTTTTTTAAATGTAATGGCTCTTAACGTACTCTAATGCTCGAATTCTCTACAGAAGAAAAAAGGTGAAGTATGCAATGGTTTGATGTTCGTCAAACTTTCAAAAGTTAACTTCATGTGAGAACTGCTCTTATTAGTAGCCACCTAAAACTTGTGAGGTGCTGAAGCATCTGTCTTAGCGGTACTTTCCGTGTGCAATTTTATTTCATACGGGCACACTTCTCCTGCAAGGCGCTCGCCAGGGTTTGGGATTCTGACCTGGACTTTGCCACCAGCCCTCCACGTGGCTCACCGTTGGGGGCCAGCAGAGGGGCCTCAAAGGTTGCCTCCGAATGGGGCGTTGCGCCCCACTCCTGGAGCACAGAAGCCGGGTCCCCCCCCCCGGCCTTGCAGATTGTGGCGGCGTCCCCTCTACACCGCCGAGCCCTAGTCTAGGGGGAGAGTCTAGATGGGCCCCTCTTTTCTTGGCTCTCCCTCTACCGCGCCCCCCCTCCGCCACAAAGGGTCCCCCTAATCCGGAATGCAGCCACTCTCCCTGTAACCCCCTCCCTCCGCTGGCTTGGGTGGAAGGGGTGCGGGCGCCTCAGCCTTACCGAAGTAGACCTCCTTCTGGCAGCGGGGACACTTGGGCATGGTGGTGCTCTCGTCGCGCGCTCGGTCCGGGGTGGAGGGAAGCCGCCCGGGGGGGCCGTTATATGGGGCTGGGCTCAGCCGGGGGCGACGCCGACCTCGCTTCGCCGCCTGCGGCCACGCCTGCCTGCCTGCCTGCCTCGGCCGAAGGGCGGGAAAGATGCTGGCCGCGCCCTCGGGGCTCTCGCGGCTGAGCCCTCGTCGCGAAGTCGCCCCGCTACTGTTGGTGGGCTTGGGGGGGGGGGCGGCTGCCTGCTCGCGAGGAGGGCTTGGCAAAGAAAGCCCGCAATCAAGAGGAAGCCCAGGCACCCCCTGGGCAAGAGGGACGAGGCTCCCTGCCTCCCGTCGGCCAAACCCTAGGAGACCAGCAGGACCCCTGGCAAAGCCGCCGCCGCCGCCGCGTTTTATTGCCTGGGGCAGAGCAGCACAGGCGTCCTTCCCCAGTACAAGTGCAAAGCTCGCCTAGTTATGATCTTAACAGAAGAGGCAGGAAATCCCCCAAGTGCTTCTCGGCGTCTGTTACTAAAACTGCAGAAGCAACGTGTAGGCTACACTAACCATTTCCTGCCCTTTGGGGGACACCTCATGTCTGCTGCCGGAGACGGTTGCGTCGCCCTTCTGCGGCCCGACGTGATGGCAGCAGTCCGAAGGTCCTTAAGAAATGAGGGAAACTGTAAAGGTGGTTCAAATAAAGGAGGGAGTGGATCCTGACTGGAAACAGAAATGGGCCACAAGAAATGAAAGGAGATGCTTCTGATATTTTTGTTTCTGCTTTATTATTTAAAATACTAGTTTTGATCCTCGCTTTAATGTACGTATTTTAAAATATTCTGGTCATAAAGGTTAAAACAGTTTAGCTTGCATGTTCAATTTTGTTAGTTTAGAATTTTGATTTCTAAGGCAGTTTTGATTTAACACTTAAATCTTCTACACTGCTAAGAAGGTGGTTATAGCTCTGTCAGTTGGAAGTATCTGGTGGTGAAACGAGGGGCTGGGAGTTCGGATCCCCAATGTTTCTCCTGGGAGAGATGAGATGGGATCATCCAGAGCATGTGGGGCCAGTGGGGGTTAATTTGCCCTGCCACCCCTGCAGCCTTCAGCAAATTGCATGGGCCAAGAGTGCCACCAGCAGGAGGGAAAGTGAATTGCTTCTGAGTAATTGATACCTGGTCCCACCTAGAGAATCTTGGGAGGGTATGATAAACTAAAGGACTAAATGTTGAAAGTTTGAACCCTTAAAATATGTCATTACTTGCTAACCCAAAGGATGAACCTGGGGAGGATTTCCCAAAGGGAAGACCGGAACCCTCACAGCAGTATGCTGTAAGCCTGCAAGACAAGTTTGCAAGGCAGTTCAAATGTAAAGCTGCTTATATACATCAGGATGTACAGTGTGCCGTCATTAATGCTATTCCAGTGGGTGGAAGTCTCTAGGATATCAATATGCCCCGTTACATGGGGCTTGAACATGTGAATGGATGACTTATTTAGGTGTTATTTATTTAGCCCACCACTAAAGTGCTTGAGCACTACTTATGAGAGGGTGGCTGTTGGCCCAGGGCAAGAATCGGTAGCTGTGGTGGAGAAGAGAAGGGGAAAGACAAGTGGAGTGAGTCTCTGGAGTGGCCAGAGGGCCCATGATGCCTAAAGTTCCTCTAGCATTATGGATATATAGACTTCACCCCAAAATGTCCTTCCCTGATTTCCAACAACTGTCAGAAACACTGTGATTGGGCAAAACAACTGTTGGACCAACCAGACGCTGTGCATATGGGGAGGGTGGAGTGGGCCCCCTTCAGAGGCGTCTAACCCAGCCCAACCTGCAGTAATCCTGATGCCAGTGCAACTCCCACACTGGTAGCAGAAACAATTCGAAAGACTATGGTTGTTCAAGCAAGTCACCCACACCAAAGAGAAAGAGCAAGGACTGCTGTGAAGAAAACCAACCAGAGTGCTTGGGACTGGCATAGCAGGGGGTGACGCTCAACCAACCTCCACAAGCAAAAAAGATCTTGGGAAGTTGAGGGTCTGGAATGGAAAGCAACAGACAAGACCAACTGTTCTACTGTACGTAGTTCCAGAACAAACTTTTACATTTGCTTTGCCAACTGCTGTCCTGCTCCTATGTCATCCCCTTGCCCATTAAGGGTCTGGGGGCCCCACACAGTTACAAATATTAAAACACAATTACATTTGTTTTCATGTTAAAACAATGTAATTAAACACCATATTAAAACATCTCGGATTTAAGTAATTAGTTACATTTACAGTTATCTAAATTCATTTCAGTCTGACTTCAGTTCAGTGTATGAGATTGAAACAACTTTGTTCTACTTGGCAAATAGCCTGCACTGGGAACTGGATAGGGGACGGTGCCTACTGGATCTCTTGGTCGTTTTTTACACCATTGAATAGGGCATTCTCCTAATTCATCTCTCTGGAATAAGATCTGGAGGCACTATTTTGGAGACAAGTTCAGAGGTATTATTGGGGACTTCTGTTTTGATACTCTGGCCATGGGCTTGTTCGATTCCCCTCATCCTCTTGTCCCCATAATGTTTGGCATATACATGGAGCTGCTGGGAGTGCTGTCTCTGCTTTTAACTGTGAACTTGGTATTTTATGTTTTGCATACTACTCAGAACACTTCTGTTATGGAATTGTTTTAATCTATCAATCAAGAGGCTTGCTAGCGCAAGAAAAAATTGGGGGGAAGCACCACCATGTGGTCCTTACACAATCCAAAGGCAAGGGGAGATTACTTTTATTAGATCACCAAACAATCACACCTAAATAAATAAATATGCCAACTTTCAATCCATACAAATCTTCATCAGGCTAGACACCACTGCACTGTGGATAGTGCAGAAAAAAACATATTATATTGTACTGTAGTTTAAAAAACCATGGCAAATGAACATGCTAGGCTCACCTATATTTGCAGCCTGCACGTGGAACTCACTTTTAACAAACAGACATGACACAAGTTACTATGTATCAGATCCAGGGCTCTGGTGCTTCTTCTCTCAGTCCTTGGCAAGAATGAGAACCTTATGTATATACAGAGACAGAGAGATAGAGAGAGATGGAGAGAGAGAGAGAGAGCGAGAGCTGATGCATGTTCCATTGAAGTTCAGGAACAAACAATACAGTACATCACTTATAGTATTCTCACTTATTTCATCAGGCTGCTCAAATAGCAAACTACCAATCCTTTTTCCTTCAGTTTACATGTATTCACCATTACCAACTTGAATATTGGATCTTTCATGGAGGTTTATAAAAAAAAAAATGTTGTTATATATAATGACTGGTGTACCTGAGTCAATGATCCGGTAATTTTTCTGTTCAGAGTTATGGGCCATGTGTGTCCTCTCTTTAAATCCCTTTCCAGCCTTTCCTTTTGCCTCTTAGAATCAGTGTCTACATATTTTCTGAAATTCCATTGTTATTTTGATTTAAAACTAGTACTGGCTGAGGAATCTCTTAAAAATGGGTAATCCTTTGCAATGTGACCTAACCTCCCACAGCTCCAGCAGGCTGTGAGGTGTGACCTTCTTATTGCCTTTCGCTCTTAGCATGAAATTTGGATCACTTTAGGCTTAGGCGTCAGGGGAGCCTTTTTGGTCTATGCACTCTTACCTCAGACAATGCAGACACTGTTTGCAAAACAAGATGGATATAAAAGCATGAAAACATTTACCCAGTAATGCTGTGAAAAATTCCGCTTTCTATGAGTCAGTTCAAAGCCAGTTAAACTTAAATTGTCAAACGCTGTTAATAGAATAAAAATGTTCTTTTCACAATCTTATTTATTGTTAAGATGGCGTAATTCAATTTCTTTAATAAAAGTAAAGATAAAGATTCCCCTTGACGTTTAGTCCAGTCGTGTCCGACTGTAGAGCATGGTGCTCATCTCCGTTTCCAACCCATAGAGCCAGTGTTTGTCCGAAGACAGTTTCTGTGGTCACATGGCCAGCATGACTAGACATGGAATGCCGTTACCTTCCCACCATGGTGGTACCTATTTATCTACTTGCATTTTTACATGCTTTCAAACGGCTAGGTTGGCAGGAGCTGGGACAAGTGACGGGAGCTCACTCCATCACATGGATTTGATCTTACAACTGCTGGTCTTCTGACACTGCAGCACAGAGGCTTCTGCAGTTTAACCCACAGCGCCACCACGTCCCTTTCTTTAATAAAAGTTGCCTCTAATTTAAAGCTGGAAAAACCATTGGTTCTCTCAAGTGCTTCTAGAATCTCTTTGGTAGTTTTGTAGCTGTAATATACATCTGTTTATCTTCCTTAACTTCCTTCTTTCCTTCCTTCTCCTATAGAGAAGACGTTGTCTAGAGCGGCGGGGTAAAAATTGAATGAATGAATGAATGAATGA